TTATCTACTTGCACTTTGACGTGCTTTCGAACTGCTAGGTTGGCAGGAGCTGGGACAGAGCAACGGGAACTCACCCCGTTGTGGGGATTCGAACCGCTGACCTTCTGATCGGCAAGCCCAAGAGGCTCAGTGGTTTAACCCACAGCGCCACCGCGTCCTCCCCTTTCTCCCTAGGTACTTGCTATTTCTACTCACTCTCTCTCATCCTCTACATACCTGTCTCAGGAACCGGGACGACACTGATCTGCACAGTGCCAAAGTGGGGGGGTAGTACATCTCCATACATGCACGGAGGGGTGGGAGGTTGCTCGGTCTTCACTCCCATCACGTCGGCCTGGCCAGGGGCCTGCGAGAGAAAAGCGCAGGCCTGAGCACAAGAGCTTAAGGGGCGGGAGACAAGATTCTACTGTATCAAGAGGTCCGACAAGCATACCTGCCCTGAGAGATCAGCGGAGGAGGAGGAGGAAGAGGACAGCGTAGAGGAATCAGAGCAATGCGACGAGGCGGGGGAGACGGGCTCCGACTTCACCTGCAGCTCTAAAGGAAGACGGTGAACAAATCACTAACATGCTTTCACTGCCAGCCACTTCAACCGTGGAAACAAAGAAGTCACTCAAACTTATCTCCTCTGTGCCCCCTGGGAAGTTTGCACTGAAAATAAATGCTGGACAAGTATCTGTCTGGGAGGTTCCAAGGCAAAGAGAAGTTCCTTGTTACCAAGAAGCCCAGTCAAGCCCTGAAATGGGCTAGATTGCTGTCCAATGGCAAAGGGCTGCTTAACCCCTGCTGAGCTGCCTTCAGGAAGAAGAGGGAAACTGCCAAACGCAAGCTGCTGGTTATTTGTGGTTCTGAGCCTTAGCTGGTGGGGCAGAGCTTGGGGATATCAGTGAAAACAATATGCCCTCTCACCCCTTCTGCTGCTCTACCCACCAGCCAGTTTTGTTGCTGACATTAAATATGAGACATTCCGTCTGAGGTCAGAAACTTGAACTAGGTGGTCCAGGATGGGGGAGGGGAAAAACTTTGCTCCATGTTAATTCTAGGCTGTTCAAACCATACTGAGGCTCAGAAATAACAACTGTCCTGCTATAACAGACCAATGACCCATCTAACCCGCTGTCTGACAGTGGCCAGTTAGATGTCTCTGGTGAACCCATGACGAGGGCATGAAGGCAAGAGCCGTCTCCTCTACCCCTCAAAACTGGAAGAAAGGGATCTCCCTCTGTAGCATGGGGCTGCTTTATACCAACTGGTCTAAGGGTTCTACCTAGTTCAGTATTCTAGACTCTAACTGGCATTGACTCTCCAATGTTTCACTGAGACCTTTTTAAACTGGAGAGATAGGGGAACCAGACCTGGGATCTTGTCCATGCAGAGCGTGCACCTCCACCAAGAGTGCTGGCACATTCTTTGCATAAACTCACAAAGACAATCTAGCCTAATGTGGGTCTTGTCCACACATATATACTGTATCATCCTACCATATACACACAGCTCTGCATCTCTCAGGCTCTCAACAGCCCTCCCACAATCTCGCAAAGGTACTTACCTGGGAAGAGAGAGTCGTGCAGTGGGTCCCAAGGTGGGTCGGGGGGCACCGTTTCCATGTCCAGGTCGAACCCATCACTGAACTGCTGCCAAGAGAGTTAGGAGAGAAAACAAAACTGATCTGTGGGTGTGTCTTTCTGTGAAGCATTTTTACCCCACTCTTTGGCCATAAATAAGCAGCTTGCAGAGATCAGCAATAAGGCTTCAGGTTTACAATCTAAACGATGCAACAGAAAAAGGCATTATGCGGGGAGAAGAAAAATGCAAACTCGTGCATCAATTCTTAATGTTACAACATTCCATTTCCACTGTAAAGGAAACATTTCAGGGAGAAGGTGAACCACACATTGTTAGCGTTTTAGCAGAGATGGTGGAGTGCTTCCCTTCTCGCCTTCTGTACATCCTGAATGGATATATATTAATATGCATGCACAGCAGACAGGCAACAAGCCAGTGAAAGGTGGGAATTTGAGGGTATTATTGTGGGTGTAGCTTATTAACAAGTATGGGATTTATAGTTTTGTAGGGCAAGAGTGGGTTAAACTTGTAGCGGGAGAGGAGAGTTTGTGGCTTGGCGTCACAGATTTGGTAGTACACATCTGTGCAGCTTATTCAAGGACCAAGGTGAACATAGATAAATCTAGTACATGCAATCTAAAGAGGAAAATGCCCCTTTCACTGTGAAGATAAGGGACCTGGATCTCCCAAATGCAAACCCTGCTCACACCATCCTATATCAGTGGTGGAGAACCTATGGCACGCATGCCAGTGGACACTCATAGAGCCCTCTCTGTTGGCACACGCACCATCGCCCCAGCAGGGCCATTCCTGGGGGTTGGCAAAGTGGGCAGCCACTCCCCCCCCCACAGCACTGTGGGCAGGAAAGACTCCCTATAGCATGCGCCGGCCACAGCAGCGTTGGGGGATTTGCGCACCTGCCAACCAGCTGATATTCGGCCGCACCACTCCCCCCCCCCACCGTGATTGGTTGGATTGTTTGCTGCCATGAGCAGAAGATAGTCAGTGGCAATATTGCGTGTGACTTGCGGCTGTGTCACGGTTTGTTTGTTTTTATTTCTGCTGCCGGTGAGCGTTGAGACAATTTGTAGCTTCAGCCTGCTACAGGAAGTGTTGTCCATGTGTGTTAGTGTTTATCTGCACGGCCTCCCCCCCCCCCCAAGCTCCACAACTCCTGCCAATCCTCCCCACATTTTTATTATGGTATATTTTTATGTGCGCATGCAGACAATCATTATTATCCCATATTAAATTGCCGTGTTGGCACTTTGCAATTAATTAGTGGGTTTTGGGTTGCAGTTTGGGCACTCAGCCTCTAAAAGGTTTGCCACCACTGTCCTATAATAATAATAATTTATTATTTATACCCCGCCCATCTGGCTGGGCTTCCCCAGCCACTCTGGGCGGCTTCCAACAAAATATTAAAATACAGTAATGCACCAAACATTAAAAGCTTCCCTAAACATCCCTATATCATGCACAAGCCCCATTATGCATGCATGTGCCCTCAGAAGATGTAGCAACAGGAATGAGGACGAGCAGGTCCTCAAGACAAACAGCATTAAGGACTAATGTTAAGTAGCAGGGAGTGGATGAAAGATAAACAGGAGGTGAGAAGAGCATGCTGCTCTGCAATGGGAGGGATCATAAGGAAGCAGAAAGCCTTTTCTAGGAAGGCATGTGAGAGGAAGCAGCTCTCACCAGGGAATGGGCACAGCCGCCATCCACAATGCTGCGTTCGAGGCAGGGGAAGAGCTCAGCTGCCACATCCCCATCATCTTCCAGGCAGCTGTACAGACCTGCATCTGTGGGGAGAATGGGAAGGGGCAGTCAGTAGGGCAAGGAACAGACTCAAAACATGTTTTCACCCTTTACTGCTCTCCTTTTTCACTTACAGCCCATACCAAGCACATCTGTGGGTGTATGCATTAAGCAAGGCTTTGCTCCCACCTTCTCCCCAAATACAACTAAAGCTGCTCCCCCTTATAATACAGTTCTGGAATTCTAGATTCTGGTGATTAGCCACATAAACAGCTCACTCCATGATAATACAAATAAGCATGTTTTTGCCAGTTTGACTGAATCCACCAATATATTTTAAAGATTTCCCCCTCATTTCACAGCGTGTGTATTTTCGATTTTCGCTGATGTTGCTTACGCATTGTATTTTGTTAAAAATAATAATAATAAAAGACCACACATGGTTTGTCCTTTATCTCACAGCAGGTGCCTTTGGCCTCAACTACATTATTATGACAGGTAAAAAACAAAACAAAGCACAAGCAGCCTTGTGGTACTTCAAAGACTAAAGTCAACGTGTCCCGAACACGATGGATGGCGTTGTGGGAGGTGGGGACCTGTGAACCTCTTTCTTTGTTAAGGCAACAACTCACACATCCCTGAAGCATAAGTTCAGTCGGTAGAGCATGAGACACTTTTTAAAAATCATTATTTTTAATAAATTTTATTTTTGCATTTTCCTATTTTACATAAACAAATGAATTAAAAACATAAACATACAATACCTTCTGACTTCCCTCCCCCTATATTGTGGATCTTAATGTAATGGTTTCCCCCTCTGCATCTCTATCATTACTCTTATTTTTAGAAAAGCTTTGTCAATTCATAGTTCAATTTTTTACTACAAGTTTTCTGTCAATCCTGCCAATGTATGTAGTTGCTTACAACAGCTTAATCTCAGGGTCGTGAGTCCCGCGTTGGGTGAAAGACTCCTGCGTCGCAGGGGGCCATAGCTGTCAACTTTTCCCTTTCCTTGCGAGGAATCCTATTCGGAATAAGGGAATTTCCCTTTTAAAAGGGGAAACGTTGACAGCTATGCAGGGGGCTGAACTGGAGCCCCCTTCGGCAGGTGCATGGCAGGTGGACACCCACCAGGTGAAGCTCCGCCCCTCCGCCTCGTGGAGACGCAGAGGGCCTGTCGCGCACCTGTTTAAACTGTGGGCTAAGGTAGCGCAGGATCCTCCTACCCTCCCACCTTCTTCGCCTTTGCAGCCCCTTCCCCAACAGCCACGCTCCGCCCACCCCAAACAAGCTCCGCCCACCGGCTCCCCCCCCGCCCCCGCCGAGCACCCACCCCAGTCCTCGCTGCTCAGCAGGTTATCCGCGCGGAAACGGCTCGAGTCGCTCAGCAGCAGCAGCTCCGAAGCCAGCGCCGCCATCTTCCTTCCGCCTTCCCGGTACACTAAGCTGCACGGCCGACTCCCGCCCCCCCCTTTGCTGCCATAACAACAGAAGCGCCCAATAGGACGCCGGCTCCGTCGCCTCCTCGGCCAACCAGAGCGAGCAAGAGGCGGGTCACGGCCGGAATATCCACCAGTGGAGAAGGAGGATGATACGGAAGTTGTACCGAGCCGGAACGCACGCGGAGAAGGCGGAAGGCGGGAGTGCGCTTGCGCGCGGCGGTTGCTACGAAACAGCGCGCAAGCGCATTATGGAACGCGAAGTGGTTTTCTTTCTTTTGAATGTCCGCTTGGTTTTGTGGGATGGCTCACGGAGCCGCGCTTGGGTCGAAGGACGCATGCGCAGTGGGGAAACTGCGCGGCGCTTGTCCCCGGACGCCTTGAAATTCCAGCGCGAAGGATTGTACCGGCACCACGCTGCGTCAACGCGTTCCATGAGGAAAGCGTGGGTAAGTATTAACTCGGCGCACGCGCACTGATAAAATAGAGGTTTCAGGCGCTGCGTTTGTGCGTGTATAGAATCTAGGTAGAAGAGCGCATGCGTAAAGAAGGGGGGAAACCTTGACGCGCAAGTGCTTATGGGAGTTGTAGTTTGGTTGTATTTTTTTAAATGAGGGGTTTCTATTCCTTTTAAGAATTATTATTATTAGGTCTCTTTGGCCCTTGAAAAATGTTGGATAAGTGGCATATTCTTAGTCTCAGTTTCCTGTTTGTAAAATGAAAACAGCATCATTTCTCTCACACGGGTTTTTTAAGGATAGCAAGGCGCATTTTATATTATTATTGCACCTAAAGGTTGCTGTCGTTTTTATTCATACATCTTTCTGGCTCTATTTGCATCTTTTTAAACAAGCAGTCTAGTGCACAGGTATTTTCACAAAGGACTTTTTTCCTTGTATAGAGCTAAGGAGTCGAAAAAGAGAAATGCTTTCCGCTGCCGATGGTTGATGTTTAAAGATGCTAGGAGCACAAGGGCCTATTTATTCATTTATATGTTTTAAAACCCATCCCTTTTGTTTTGGAAAAAAACCCCAATACAAATATTTTATATGAAAGCGAAAAAGAAAAAAAATATGCCAGGTTTAAAATGGCATTTACTTATTTATTTTATATAAAAATTTGTATGCTGCTTGATTTAGGGAAGCTTTTAATGTTTGATGTATTACAGTATTTTAATATATATATTTTTGGAAGCCGCCCAGAGTGGCTGGGAAAGCCCAACCAGATGGGCGGGGTATAAATAATAAATTATTATTATTATTATTATTATTATTATTAAAATGAAACAAAACCTCAAAGCGGACGTGACACGTGCAGGTTAGTTTAGTCCCTGGTTTTGCCAGGACAGCAGGGCAAATTGTGGCAAACTTTTTCAGAGGCGCGTCAGGGAATTGGGTGTTATCGACTAACCAAGGGAAGGTTGCCATGAGTGACCTCATTGCCCCACAGCACAACTGATTTGGCATGATATGCCGTAGATGTAGCTATGATATTATCAAAGGGCGGGGAATGAAATAACGCCAGGTTTCTTTTGCTTTTACTACTCTCTCTTATCCACCATCAAATCCAGACTTCCAAAGAAATGTTTCTCCTTCCCTTTGTTTATATTCCAGCAGAAGCAGCCAGTTCCTAAGGTAGCAACATTTTTCCAGCAGCAGAACAAATTTATACAGGGAAAGGAAAGAGTGAGTTCAGGGAGCCTACTTGAATAAAATATGGGGGGGGGTGGGTGCCTAGGTAAGCCGCACCCTGCATAACCCTCTCAATTCCCTGGAGAGGGAATGGACTCATGGAAAGTATGTGTTAATGTGGATATCCAAAATTGGACAAATATCAAAATCCGGAGATTGTTCATGATGCTGAAGGGTCCTACCAACCAAAAGTCAAAGAAGCCCTTCCTGATTATCTCACCCTCACCATTATGGGATAGGTGATTGAAATTCAATAAATAACGTAAGTAGCAATCATGTTAATAGATGAGAATAGAAAGAATGATCTTATTGTCACTAACAAGTGCACATTGACAAGGCATAGCGAATTGGAATGCATCCTTAAAACACAAAAGCAGATAACAACAATCAACACCAAACCACTTCCAGCCAACCACACCAAATCAAACTCCGGCACACTATCGAGTTACAGCTCAAAAAGGTACGCCTTGGATAGAAACGTTTCATCTATTTGTCTTTGACTTGAGTTCCATACTCCGCCAGAAGTAGTGCAAACAGACTGTGTCCCTGATGTCCCAGATGTATTGCTTCCTAACAACGGGAACGTACAGTTCTTCCAAAGATGGGAAGGAGCCAAATCCTTTGGGCTGTGGTTAGACTTCGGAGACACTTCCTCCCAGCTGTAATGGAGACAAGCACAATACAGATGTAAGAATGCATCATGAGCCTCGGTAAGGAACCAGCGTTGCTTCCTCCAAAGAATCCTTGAACTGTTTAAGGATGCTGGGGAATATCCGCTGGCTTTGTGAAATGCAGACTACAGTGGTACCTCAGGTTAAGTACTTAATTTGTTCTGGAGGTCCGTTCTTAACCTGAAACTGTTCTTAACCTGAATCACCACTTTAGCTAATGGAGCCTCCCGCTGCTGCCGTGCCGCTGCTGCACAATTTCTGTTCTCATCCTGAGGCAAAGTTCTTAACCCGAGGTACTATTTCTGGGTTAGCGGAGTCCGTAACCTGAAGCGTATGTAACCCGAGGTACCACTGTACAGTCCCCAAGATTGCTTGGGGAAGCCATGTGCTTTAAATGTATGGGGGGGGTGTATGCAGCAAGGCTTATGAGTAACAGTTGAAAGAGCTGATTATGATTAGTCTGGGTAAGAAAATAATAAAAGGAGGCATGAGAGTATACCTGAAGGAGCGTCTCCACCCCCATCGTTCAGCCAGGCTCCCCACTGAGATCCAGTGCCGAGGGCCTTCTGGCGGTTCTCTCATTGAGAGAAGTGAGGCTACAGGGAACCAGACAGAGGGCCTTCTCGGTGCCCTGTGGAACGCCCTCCCATCAGATGTCAAAGAGATAAACAACTACCTGATATTCAGAAGACATCTGAAGGCAGCCCTGTTCAGGGACGTTTTTAATATTTAACGCTGTACTGTTTTTAACACTTGATTGGGAGCTGCCCAGAGTGGCTGGGGAAACCCAGCCAGATGGGCGGGGTATTATAATAATAATAATAATAATAATAATAATAATAATAATAATAATATCATTATCATTATTGTTATTATTATGAGAGCAGACCTCAAGTATCTGAAGAACTGTGGAGTGGAACTGTTCGCTGTTGCACCCAAGGGCAGGACTAGACCCAATGAGGTGGAAACTGTGGGGAAGCAGATTTTGGCTAAGCGTTAGGTGATGCTTCCTGACATCATGAACAGTTTGACAGCAGAATGGACTGCACTGGAAAGATATATGGCTTCTGTGGAAGGATAGCCGAAGTGGAAAAATACTATTCTTTTCACCTTTGCGTGTGTGTGTATACCGATATGTTCTTTATTGGGTTTCTATTTTCCTTTCATCAACTCATTTCCTGCCCCAACCTGCGAGTATGAGACTGCCAAAAAAATAAAATACTCCCAAGAGAGAAAAACATTATGGATCCCATTCTATTTCACAACCATCTCCTGCAAAACATACCGACCGACTCCCAAATTATGCTTCTTACAACGAGTTGGTGTAGTAGAGCACGCAAAGTGCTTTTTTTATTTAAGCAGATTTAGAACGGTGAGGTGGAGGGGAGGCTAAAGGATGCTCAGGTCCGTTCGATTCCTGCGTGCACAGGAGTTGTCAAACGGACCGTCATTCTCCTCCTGCCATCCCTCATTTTATTCCATCAAGAATGTGGCTTATGGATCCCAACTTCTGTTGTGGCAGCAGGGGGGGTTGCCCCTTGGCTGACAGGGGAACTAGTAGATGGCGGCATTGTGCTTTTTTGCTTGCCTGTAAGAAAAGACAACAATAAGATATGTGGATGCTGCCCAGCCTGTCAAGAATGCTGATATTAATGCCTTCTCTTCACCATTAGCAAATGCTGATCCAGAACTACTAACCTGGTTCCTTCCAAATGTTTTGGACTACCAGCTCTCTTCAGCCCCAGGGATGATGGGAACTGTAGTCCAACAACTTCTGGAGAGGCACAGGCTTCTCATCCCTGATCTACTTGATCCTTGGCAATGCCAGGAGAAGGATAACAAGATACCTGGAGATGGACAGAGCTATCGTCCAACACCACACTGCCTCTCCCTGTCCTCCAAGATTTGTGCCCATATCCCTGCCCAAATCACTGAGATCTTCAGAGGAGTTGCTGCTGGTGGCCCCCCATGGCACAGATGCGTGGCTCATTTCCACCAGAAGCACTGCATTAAGTATTGCAGGTGAGACTCGAAAAATTAGAATATCGTGGAAAGGTTCATTGATTTCAGTCATTCAACTTCAAGGGTGAAACTAATATATGAGATAGACTCATGACATGCAAAGCGAGATATGTCAAGCCTTTCTTTGTTATCATTGTGATGATCATGGCATACAGCTGATGAAAACCCCTCAGAAAATTAGAATATTCAATGAAATCAGCAAAACAAGGATTGCAAATCGAGCAAGATTGGACCTCTGAGAAGTAGAAGCATATCCCGCTTTGCATGTCATGAGTCGATCTCATATATCAGTTTCACCTTTTAAGTTGAATTACTGAAATCAATCAACTTTTCCACGATATTCTAATTGTTGGAGTTTCACCTGTATTTGCCCGATTCTGTGGAGCTGCCTCTCAGCTGACATTAGACATGCCCCCTTCCCATTGAACGCCAGGCAAAGACCTCCTCTTCTTTCAGGTACCTTAGAATCACAGAATAGACTGAGCTGTCCCAGGACTGAAAAAGACCTTTGTCCTACAGCTGACATTTTCTGTTTTGATGATCAGTTGTAACTATTTTTTTAAAAAATAACTTATATGCGCACTGCTTAGAGACTTCGGTAATTCAAGCCATATTTAAATACCTTTAGTAAATACAGTAGTACCTCTGGTTACGTACTTAATTCGTTCCAGAGGTCCGTTCTTAACCAGAAACTGTTCTTAACCTGAAGCACCACTTTAGCTAATGGGGCCTCCCGCTGCCGCATGATTTCTGCTCTCATCCTGAAGCAAAGTTCTTAACCCGAGGTAATATTTCTGCGTTAGCGGAGTCTGTAACCTGAAGCGTATGTAACCTGAAGCGTATGCAACCCGAGGTACCACTGTAAGATGAAATCTGCTGCCTGTGGCAACTGCCACACTCTGCCTCATAGTAAGGCAAGACTATGAATATGAAAGAAGGTCTTGTCTGGGAAGATTATGGACAACGAACGAAATAAAAAATTGACAATGCGAAAAGCAACGGGGGGGGGATAGCGGCAGGGGGAAGGAGTCATTGAGAGCAGCAGATGAAGCCACATGTGTTTTGGGTTTGGTTGCATGGGGGTGGGGTCCAACTGAGACAAAGATTAAGGGATTTACATAAAAGGTTTTGTGATTCTTTTTTTAGGGAGTGGTTTAAGGAAGGGGCTTAAGCAGAGGCCGCATTTCCTGGAAGGGGGATCTTCCAGAAGATTACGGCTGGCAGGGAGACAGGGTAGGGTGGGGGGTTCACTTACCCAGCGGGCACACCCCATTCTTGCACGCCAACACAGGCTCCCCCAGATCCTCGTTGCGCAGCGATGCTGCTATTCTCCTAGCCACATAGCGGCAAGCTGAATTGAAGAGAGGAAATCTGTTATTTCCCTAGAGGAGCTGGACACATCTGTGTGGCTGGTACTGGCTCCTGCCCAGGAATTCAGCCTCTAGTCTAATGAGCACTGACTTCCTAGCTTTCTGCCTGCACCCAATGTGCCCCCCCTTCCAATTCTAAAGGAACCCAGGAGTCCGGGCTCCCCTTGCCTCCATCTGCAGACCCTATACGTACCACCAATTATAAGTCAGACCATGCTTCGGGAAGGAGAGTGCCGGTCAGCTTGGAAGTTCTGCTATAGACCCCTTGCATAAACTGGATTATAAAAGGAAGGAAGGAGGTGGAGTTGAAGAGTAAAGAAAGGCATTATGGGAAATGTAGTTTTATTACCTCTACTACAAGGTCGGGGGTGGGGTAGCTTTGTTGATCTGTTTCAGCAAAGCAACAAAGGCTTTTAAGGGGCTTAGGATTAATTGTTAGGCTCTAAAATGCCACAGGACTTTTCTACCCCATCTCAGAAAACCCATGAGTCCGTTCTTGGGCCTGTAATTTGTTTTTAGTACTGTATTTTTAAATTGCCATAACCTGCCCTGAGACCTTATGTTGAAGGGCAGGTAAGAAATCAAATAACTAATAATAATGTAGCATGTATTCCATAGTCTTTTATATGCCCCTTCAGGAGTTTCCAGGCATCTTCCTGCCACATGTCCATATTTCTTACCCATTTTTCTCTCTTTTTGTTTTTTAAATGACTTGTGGGGTTTGTCATCAGCATTGAATCCAGTCAAGTACGGAAGGTGACATCATGTTGCAGGAAGTTCCTGTCTTTCTGACTTTACCTGTCCTGACATTAATGTATACATACTATATATATATATATTTAAAAACAAAACAAAATAAACCTTTCATGCTGGAAAGCAGCAGAATGATACTGTCAGCTTTCCAGGGCAGGCTTAAAACATAGGGCATTTTTCATATTACCTGTATTTCTGACAGAGGGTTCTGGTACAGAGCTTAGGAGTTTTGAGTTCACATCCTTTCCGCGCTCTGTGAAAAAGATGGTGGTTTTTTTAAAACCTCAGCTTCTCTCTGGCAGCTGACTGAAAGCTGCATAGACAAGATGTCAGGAGGAAAAGGGGCGGCTTCCTATAAATTGGAAGGGGAGTCCCCTGTTTCATAATGGCGAGGGTGGGGTAGGCAGGGAGATCTCCCCTGGCTTTTGGCAAAATAAATAAATTACCCCTGCTTGCTTGCCTGCCTGCCTTTTCGCCTAGCATCTCCTGAGGGAAGGTTTCTGCTTACAATGGTTGCTAAGACAGGTGGTTGCTGAGGAAATGACGTTTTGGGTGGGGGAGAAGAAGAAGAAGGGGGGAATGTGGAGGGGGACTAGATAAACGAGTGTGTGACTGAGGAAGGAGCTGAAGCATATGCCCTGCTCATCCATTCTGTGCTGAGGACCAGTACTGAGCAACTGAGGTAAGGGGAGGAGAGCATGGTTGATAATGATGGGGAGGGGGAGGGAATAAATGGAAATCGTGAGACATAGGATGAAGCGGGAAATATCGGGGGGCTTTCACAGACTAAAAAGATAATTAAGCATTTTGCTGCTCTGTCAGAAAGGTCATTGCAGCATGGATGTGTTTTTGGCGGAAGGAGAGATGGGGTACTGAACGTTTGAGAACCTCATTTGTTCTGTTTTATGTGGCGTATTAAATCTATTTTGGGTTTGGAGCCAGGTTCTGGGGGACAACTGGGTGTATGTAATCTTCATAACGAGGAAGAATGAGCTAAACGTTGGCTGTCAAAGACAAGCCCTGCCCAGCCATTGGTTGACTTGCTGTGATGTCATCAAATGTTTGCGGGGTTTCTAGTGGCTCAGGAGAAAATGGGAGTCCTAGAAGGTCGACAAACATGGCAGGGCCTTTCTGGCTCTGCTAGCGAAAGGCAGTGGTCAAGCAGTGCGCGGCATTTAATTTGGACAAATGCCCAAACTTCCCCTTCACGTTCAGAAGAAAATGCTTCTTATAGTCTTATAGCTTGCTTGTTGCTTGTCCTCACAACAACTCTGTGATTTAAGCTGCCGCTGTTCCCATTTTACAGATGAGGAACTGAAGCTGGAAGACTGTTGGCATCGCCCAGAGCCACACAGGGAATCCTTGGCTGAGCTGGAATTTGGAGTTGGGTGGAAAGGTAACAACTGTGCGCACTGCCATACGTCTGGGCTCAGTGTGGGGAGGTGTAGTAGGAATTTCATGGCAAAGGCAGTGCAATTGCCCATTCTTTTCAACGGCATCTTGTGCTTTTTCTTCTTCACTGTTACTAGGCCGGATTGCCTCCTGGCGAACAGCTCCTTAACGCCCTGCCCTTCCCTCGCTGGCGTTCGGGAGCATCGAATCCCCAAAGCTGGCAACAGTTGATGACATGATGGCAAGTACAGAACCGGTCACTGAGAAGATGCCCGGCAAGAAACCCAACCAGGGGTCAGCCGTTGGCCAAGGGAGCATCTGTGGTACATCCGTTGGGAGTGGAGGAGAGAAGGAGAGGAGGGCCGAGGACCTGAAAGAGAACCTGCCCCCTCGGGACCCAGCCGGCAGGGACGTCCCTTGGGCCTGCCCGGACGGCACGTTCGTCAAACTGGTCCTGGAGGCGGGCACGGGTTTAGATAAGCCTAAGGAAGGCTCCCTCTGCCAGGTCTTCCTCGAAGCCGAGCCAGGGTCGCCCTTGAGTTACCCAACCCACCGGTGGGCTGAAATGGAGCTGGGTGGCGGTGACGCCGAGTGGGACGGGGTGGTGGACCGTTGCCTGGAGACGATGCTGGCCGGGGAGCAGGCCGAGGCGAGGTTGGCAGCAGGAGGCACCATGACCATCCGGTTAGCGAGCTTCACGGAGGCCAAAGACACCTGGGAGATGAGCGCCGCCGAGAAGTGGGACTTGGTCCTCAGCAACAAAGAACGGGGCGGGGAGCTGTACCGGGCAGGGGACGTTGCCGCCGCCGCGCGGCGCTATGCCAGGGCCTTGCGGCTGCTCGTCGTGGCTGCCCCTCCGCCGGACTACGACCAGATCAAAGCCGAGCTGCACGCCAACCTGGCTGCCTGCCAGCTGAGGCTGCACCAGCCGGCCAATGCCGCCTGCAACTGCACCAAGACCCTGGCCCTGCAGCCGGCCAACACCAAGGCCCTCTTCCGACGGGGCTTGGCTCACGATGCCATGAACGACCTGGAGGGGGCGGCGCAGGATCTGAAGGGGGTTTTGCAAGTGGAACCGGGGAACCGGGCAGCCCGGAGAGAACTGGAAAGAGTCATGGAGCGGATCAGGGCGCGGGATGCCAAGCTGGCCCGAGCCATGCAGAAAATGTTTGCCTGAATAAAAATAAAAATAATAATAATTTACCCTAGTGGTCCTGGGCCCTAAGGAAGTTAGATTAGCTTCAACCAGAGCCAGGGCCTTCTCAGCACTGGCTCCAGCCTGGTGGAATGCTCTGCCTCATGAGACCAGGGCCCTGCAGGATCTGATTTCTTTCCGCAGGGCCTATAAGACAGAGCTGTTCCGCCTGGCCTTTGGCTTGGAGCCAATTTGATTCCCTCCCCCTCTTTCTTTCTTTTTTCTTTTTCCTTTCTCCTCCTGTGATGAGGCTGGATTTTAATATTTTAATGTTTCAATATTTTAATGTTGTATTTTAATCTTGTTTTTAAGTTGTATTCATTCAACTTGTTTTTATTATTGCTTGTTAGCAGCCCTGAGCCTGGCCTTGGCTGGGGAGGGCAGGGTATAAATAAAAATTATTATTATTATTATTATTATTATTTATACCCCGCCCATCTGGCTGGGTTTCCCCAGCCACTCTGGGCGGCTTCCAACAGAACACTAAAATACAATAACCTATTAAACATTAAAAGCTTCCCTAAACAGGGCTGCCTTCAGATGTCTTCTAAAAGTCTGGTAGTTGTTTTTCTCTTTGACATCTGGTGGGAGGGCGTTACATAGGGCAGGTGCCACTACCGAGAAGGCCCTCTGCCTGGTTCCCTGTAACTTGGCTTCTCGTAGCGAGGGAACCGCCAGAAGGCCCTCAGCGCTGGACTGAATGAGGCAGTGCTGCTGATGTTGATCTTTGTGGTATGCTTTTTTTCACCCTGCCCTTTTATAGAGCACGTGTAGCGAATGTGGTACTCTCCACGTGTTTCAGACTACAACTCCCATCATTCTCGTGTCATTGGCTGGGGCTGATGGGAATTGTAGTTCAAAACTCTCTGAAAGTACCAGGTTTGCTTCCCTGAATGGGTTGTCCCCTGCCCCATTTTTTTAATTTTTTTTTGCTGCTCTGTGACGTGAATGATGGTTACTCTGAATACCAGTTGAAGGGAACCACAGGGGTTTCCTGGGGTTTCCCATAGACATCTGGTTGGCCACTGTGGAAGCAGGATGCTGGACTATGTGGGCCATTGCCCTGATCCAGCAGGCTCTGCTTCTGTTCTTAAGTCCATTCGAGTGGATACACAAACCCTTGTGTGGGAGATCAAAGCATAATTTCTGTGCAGCCACACAATACGGTACACAGATAGAGATCTTGGCACCCAGCATGGAATTTGGCTGGGTGCAGAGACTGCTGCCTTCCTTTTATTTTAAAAAGGAGCACGTTTGCAACCCTTATGGATGGAAATGTATGGGCTGTGCCTGGTGAAATCTCAGCAATTAAAAGGGGGGGAGCTGTTTAGCGATATCACTGCCCAACGCCACGTACGTTTCTGTTTTCTGTGCTGCTAGGATTACGTTAGACACGTGATTTTACTAGAAATATTGCCTAGAAGTCAACACCTTCAAAATATTACCCCTCATCTCACAAAGAGCTTTCATTTTTTTAAAAAAAAAAGTAATGACAAGTTTCTAGACCTTATGGCTGCAAAACCACTTAGTGTGAAAACACATGGACTTGGTACAATCTTGGAAGGAAGGAAGACTGGGAGCAGGGCTTCAACCGGCATAGGGCATCAATGTTTGGTGGTGTTTTTGAATCATCCCATAGAGAGCCAGTGTGGTGTAGTGGTTAAGAGCGGTAGTCACGTAATCTGGGGAACCGGGTTCGCGTCTCCGCTCCTCCACATGCATCTGCTGGGTGACCTTGGGCCAGTCACACTTCTTTGAAGTCTCTCAGCCCCACTCACCTCACAGAGTGTTTGTTGTGGGGGAGGAAGGGAAAGGAGATTGTTAGCCGCTTTGAGACTCCTGAAGGGGAGTGAAAGGCGGGATATCAAATCCAAACTCTTCTCTTCTTCTTCTTCTAGTTGCAGAGCTGAATAAATAGTGCTTCTTTCTTTCAGGGGGCAGCGCATACAGACTTCTTTTGCCCGACAGACCATCTCTCCCTTATCTTCATGCTCTTTAGCACCGCCTCCTCTTTCCCTAAAATCCTTCGAAAAGCAAAATTCTGGAAGCAAACTGTACAAACATACCAGCCGCTTGTAAAATGCTGTAATTCCCTCCCCTATGTGGTACCGTATTTTTCGCTCTATAAGACGCACCAGACCACAAGACGCACCTAGTTTTCAGAGGAGGAAAACAAGAAAAAAATATTCTGAATCTCAGAAGCCAGAACAGCAAGAGGGATCGCTGCGCAGCCTGCATTCGCTCCATAAGACGCACACACATTTCCCCATACTTTTTAGGAGGGGAAAAGTGAGTCTTATAGAGCAAAAAATACGGTAGATTATTTGGGATGGGGGGGGGATGAGAAGGGGTATTTCAAGCAATCCCAAGCCAAGCCGAAACCTTGGCGTGACCCTGAAATGATGGTGCGTTGCTGGCGCGAATTGAGTGATGGGTTCCAGTCGGGCATTCTGTTGTAGCCAAGAGAAGCTGCTCAGAAAACCCAGTTCTCCCTCGCTGTTACCATTGCGGGTTCTTCCCGTTTGCCTCCCCTGCAGCGAACCTCTCTTTACCCGTGGGCTGTTGAATCCATACGTACCCCTCTTGCTGTTCCTAAGCAACCGTCTCCTGAGAGACAGCAGAGCTTGGGAAGTCCATATTGGCGGACGGTAAACCGAGGGGAAATAATGGGGAGAGGAGGGGGGCGGGAACACTGGGTTTTGAAAGAGTGAGAGTGGAGGTGAGGTGAATGGCGGGGGAGAGGAAATTCTGGATTTTCTGGCATAGCTCGTACACCATCTGCAAAGAGGAGCTGAGGCCAGGCAGGATCCAGGAGGAATAGATGGGCCAGGTTGTGACAAGGGGGGTGGGCTTGGCATCTATCCCCATTATCGAGAAAAAGGCAAGGGGTCCCACGCAGAGCAAATTGGGGTGCTGGTAGCTAATACTGTTTAAAAATATAGCCAGGTAGGATGTTGAGAATCAATCAAATGTCTTTATTAAGTAATATATATAGAGAGAGAGATAGATTCTGTAACCAGTCACTTGCAAACAGAGAGATAATAAATAACGGAGTCCAACATCCAATCAAAGAAAAGTGGGTGTGCGGGGAATGAATTGGGAGTTCATGTGACGGAATATGGGGTTTGGTGGAGTCTGGGGCGGGGCGGCCGGCCTGGAAATGAGAAGCCGAACAGCCAATATCCAGATTTAATTATGCCCTGCAGCTCCTGAGCCATTCAACATATGCTCACACTTCTGCGCCCATGTCTAGCCTCATATATGCTAAATTTTTCTCAATGCACCTTGGAGCCAATCTACTTGTCATACTGAAGGAAGTGGTACGATACCATGTTTAAAAACACCCCACCCCTAAAAAAACACCCCACCCTTCCCTGCATTTAGTAAGCTAGCCCATCAGCATGAAAGGTTTAGCATAGTTCTCCCTCTGCTGTGCCAGTTTACTCCATTCAGGGAGCTCCGAAAAATCCCATCCTGGACCAGCAGACTATAGTCCAGAATTCTGCCTTTTTAAAGCACAATATGCTGACTGTCTCTAAGGTTGGATCTGTACACAACAAAGCGACAGAGTGAACTGTCCCGTTTCAGATCGTAGCTGGGGAATGCCCTATTTGAAAGTCTGCTTATAAACAAACAAACCTCCTTGTAAATAAAACAGTAGTTCCCCAACCTCACCACCACTACCGCCACTCCCTGCAGACCACTGGAAAATTGCTGACTTGATTATTTTTCTCCCCAGCGTAGCAAGGCTGATGTGCCACACTAGATACTGTATGATTTCTAGGGAAGGTTGGGTTTTGCTGCTTTTATTTCTTATATATTGTATTTTATTTTGTTGTTTAGAATTCAAACTGCAGTACAGTAAGCCATAAGAAAGAAAAGCAGGGATTAAAATGCAAATTAAAAAGCAACATGGCTTTTTAATATGATGGATGTGCTGTCTCCCAGCCTCAAGCACAAATCCACAGACATACTGCAGACTCCATAAATGACATTTGTGGACCACTGGTTGCCTGTGGACCATAGTTTGGGAAGTCCTGTCTATCAGGAAGCCCCGATAGAAACCTGACTTCCATAAGAAGGGTCTTGCCCATCTCTTCTCCTGTTGTTTGTTACATTTTCTATTTAAAAAATCCCGTCCTTCCTTCAAAGAGCTACGGACAGAATACATGGTCCCTCTGTTTAATCCTCACCACAACCCTGTGAAGTAGGTCAGGCCGCGAGACGGTCATGCAGGAATCTTTGTAGCCAAGCGGTCTAAGTCAAATACTCTTACATGTTAACTACTCTTAGTCTTATCACTGATACTTAGAAGCCACTCTGGGGCTTGGGAGTCATTTTTGGTTGAAGAACAGGATTAAAATGCTGTTAAGATAAATACGCTTCGCCACTACATCACATGGGCTCTATTTACAAAGTGTCGTTAAGGTAGGGGATCCGTTTGTTTGTTTTTTAAAAAAGGAAAATGCAGTCCCCGCAGCTGCAGTCTGAAGTGCTTGCAAACCGTAGACTAGGCCTCACCGGGTTACTTCGTACAAGTCAAAAGGCCTTTCTTGCAGTCTTGCCCTGGCTTCTGCCTGCTCACTGGAAATAACCACGGTCACACCCTGTTTTTTGAGGTTCTGCTGCTGGTTCCCCATATTTTGTCCTTTCTCTTTCCCCACCTATTTCTTTCTGCTTTTTAACAAATAAAAAATAACTAAAAGTGGCCTTGCTCTCCAAATGAAGGTTTTAACTGACTGTTTATTACCTCTATAAACCCAGCAAGGCAAGCAGTGTGGATAAGAGATGGCTATATTTTAATCTACCCCCAAGCATTGAGAAGAGAGTAGGAAGGAATCTGAATAACTGGCTACATGCAAGGCTTTGTGTCAGTAGAGCGGGAGACTCTTCATCACAAGGTTGTGGGTTTGAGCCCTTCATTGGGTGAAAGATCTCTTCATTGCAGGGGGTTGGACTAGATTTATCCTTGTGGGGCCCTTAGGTGAAGGTAAAGGACCCCTGACAGTTAAG